ATATATGAAAACAAAAGCAAAAAACACATGAAAATTTTAATCATCCCTCTCCCCAAAAAATCCATACCCACTACCAGTCACTCTTCATCTCTCTCCCTCCTGCCCTGGCAACCACAGATCTCCCTTCTGTCTCTGTGGAGTTGCCTGTTCTGGACATTTCACTGAAGTGGAATCACACAACATTTGATTTTTGTTTCTGATCTTTCACTTACCATAACGTTTTCAGAATCCATCCACACTGTGGCACGTGTCAGAACTGCATTCCTTTTTATGGCTACACAATACTGTGTAGACAGACCACGTTTTGTTTACCCATTTTTCAGTTGAGGAACATGTTTTTTGACTATATGACTATTATGAATCATGCTGCTGTGGGTGTGTTGTATACAAGATTTTGTATGGACGTGTTTTTATTCCTCTTAGATGTATACAGTACATAGTTGTGGATTATATAGAACTATGTCTAACCTTTTGTCATTCCATTCATGACAAGTGTCCATTCTCATTTTCAGACCTTCTGTTAAAAGTACTAAAATAGAAGACCATCAGCTTCTTATTTGTTTATTGGTATATTTGTTCACTCATTCATTCATTTATTCATTTACTCATTCCATCACCCATTTGTCCTTTCATCTGGCCACTCAGTGACAAGTTAGGGAAACCATAGCCAAGCAAGACCCAGGGAAGAGAGACGGCCAGGTGGGGCACTGCCTCTGACAGCCTTCTGGTCTCATTGGGAGCTTGATCAAAGCCTCAGTGCATGAGCATGGCCCAGTGGGGACAGCACCCACAAAAGGACGGATGCGAGCATCCTGACAGCTGAGATCAGGGGACTTCGTCTCCAGTGTGGTCCCAGCATAGCCTAACCTCAGGCACCTGCCACAGGTGACCCCGCCTTGCACCTGCCCTCCATCCACCTGCCTCTGGCCCTGTCATGGCTATTCCAGGAATGACTTTCCTGGAACAGAATTATCTACTCCCAGTATTACTTTGGCAATGAGCATCCCAGCCTTCATCTTGCTTCAGTCCAGTACCGGCTGTGTGATGAGCCCTCCCCAGCCCTGAGCCCCTTGTCCCTCTTGAAGGCCCTGGTTATAAATGGTGACTATGGGAAGCATCCCTGTGAGAACAAGTTCCCTACAGAGAAGAGCCCAGCTAGTTGTATCTTTCCCCTGGGCCTTGCCTGGATACATACTGATAATATTCCAGAAATATTTCTGATGAGTGAATGAATGAATGAATTCATCAAACTGATGAATGAGTGAACAAGCTAATGGATAATGACATTGTCTTGCTTCAGAGCCTCTGATGGTAGCCCTTTCTGCATCTTTTTTTTGGAGGAAGATAACTTTGCTCCCTGCTAGCAGGGAGCTGGATCATGACTATGCCTGTGTTCTGGTACAGGGTTGGTAAATTGGTAGACACCAGCATGGACATCCAAGCCATCCAGCTCCCTGCCCTACAGTACCAGCATGAGAGGCGGGCAAGTGATTGGGCTGTGGACAGCAACCTGTGCGGAGTGATGGACCCCACCGATGGCATCGGCAGCCTCATCGAGGAGGAACATGCGATGGTCCAGCTCAATACTGGGGTGAGTGGAGGCCTCGGCTGGGGCCACTTGGCAGTGGAGTGGGAAGGTCGGAGACATGTGGGCAGACATGGGGAAGTGGCCACAAGGGCAGGTAGAAGATAGAGGGCAAACTACAGCTCATTCTCAGAGGGTGGGCAGAGAGAAAGGAAACCGGCAGTACTTCAGGGGAGCCACTGCATGTCCTCATGTTCTAACTGGGACGCTCTGATATGAAATGTTGGCTTAGTGTGCCAACAGTGCCCTGCTGAGGAGCCTGCCCTCTGCCGTGCTCTGAGCTGGCTCTCCAGCAATCTCATGGGGTCGGGGAGGATGTTCCCATTTTACACGCAGGAAACCAAAGCCTGGGCCAAAGTTCACCTTTGGCTCTGACACTGAGAGAGCCAAGAAGGGATGAGAGTGGAAACAGGGGCAGGTAGCGGGGCAGGTAGTCCAGGGAAGCAGATGAGGTTTGTCTTCTGCTCCTGCATGAGCTGGGCCAGACATGATGGTGTCTCCAGTGAGGGGTAAAAGGAAGACAGGGACTTCATTTGGTCCTCAGATGTGCTGCAGTGTGTCTGCCCTGCCCCCGAGCCCACGTGGGGACCTGCAGGACATGTACTCTGGCTGTGACTGCCTGTATGAATGTCAGCCAGAGGCCTACTAGTACCATGTGAGGGCAACACCAGCTGCAGGCTGGTGGAATTAGACAGACTCCAAGCCCAAACCTGTCACCTGTGTCCTCTCTGCCACAGCTTGCTCTCCACTGCCAGCAGTTCTGGGCCATGTTCTTGAAGAAGGCCACATACAGCTGGCGGGAGTGGAAGATGGTAGCAGCGCAGGTCCTGGTCCCCCTGACCTGCATCACCCTGGCCCTCTTGGCCATCAACTACTCCTCAGAGGTCTTCGATGACCCCATCCTGAGGCTGAGCTTGAGCGAGTATGGAAGAACCATTGTCCCCTTCTCAGCCCCTGGCACCTCACAGCTGTATCAGCAGCTATCAGAGCACCTGAGGGACATGCTGCAGGCAGCGGGACAGGAGCCCCGTGAGGTGCTAGGTAAGGGGCAGTGGGGCCTGCAGGGGTATAGGGTGGGCAGACCTCAGCGCCCCACTGTGGCAATGGCAACATCTGGGGTGAATGGTCCTTTGTGTCCTGTGCCCCATAGGATGTGAGCAGCATCCCTAGCATTGTCCCCCATGACAACTAAAAATGCGTCCATACCAGGTGTGGTGGCACACACCTGTGATCCCAGCACTCTAGGAAGCTGAGACAGGAGAATTGAAAGTTTGAGCCCACGTGGGAAACTTAGTGAGTTAGTGAGAACCTGTTTCAAAAATTAAAAAGGGGCTGGGGATGTAGCTCAATGTGAAGGCCCTGAGTTCAATCCCCAGTACTGAAAAAAAAAAAAAAAAGAAAGAAAGAAAGAAAGAAAAAAAAAATGCTTCAGATATCACCAAATTCCCCTGGGGTAAGATCATGTTGGCAAGTCAGAATAACTGTCCCAGAGACACAGGGTACCTTGATAAAGGGACATGGTGAGGCATTTATTACTGCCCTGGTTGTCAGGACCATTCGTAGCTGAAATGCAAAAAGCTCAGTGATCTTTGTATGACCTTATCTTTGCCTGGTCACAGTGTGCCTTCATGTGACATGGTGTTTTCTTCCAACATCCTAAAACCCTAAACTAGTAATGGCGAACCTTTTAGAGCTCTCAGTGATAACAGTCTGCAGCAGCATTCGTGCCATAGGTTCACCACCACTCTCTAAACTGTCTCTAGCATCCAGGCTTAGAACAGCTGTGCTGTGGATGAACGGAATGTGCTGGAAGGTTTTCTTATTTTCTTTCTTCTCACATCTGCCCAGCAGCGTGGACACTTAGCAGATGAATGATGAAGAAGTTGGCAAAAACGATGTCTTTCTTAAGAAATGATGACACAGAGGCAGCTGGGAGCATGCTGGCACTGTGGGATGGGGGCACATCTGGCCGCATCTTGCCAGGCAGGAGCCCCTGCAGTTCCTGCTTGGCTGTGCCCCTGTCAGATCCCTGTGAATAGCACTGGGACACCAGTGGGTACCCCTGCTTCCCCGCCCTGCACCCTTGATGCTGCCTTTACTCCTCAGGTGACCTGGAAGAGTTCCTGGTTTTCAGGGCCTCAGTGGAGGGCGGAGGCTTTAATGAGCGCTGTCTGGTGGCAATGTCCTTCAGAGATGAAGCAGAGAGAACTGTGGTCACCGCCCTGTTCAACAACCAGGCATATCACTCCCCAGCCACCGCCCTGGCCATCGTGGACAACCTTCTGTTCAAGCTGCTGTGTGGCCCCCAGGCCTCCATCGAGGTCTCCAACTACCCCCAGCCCCGGAGTGCCCTCCAGGCCGCCAAGGACCAGTTCAGCGAGTATGTGAGGCACCCCCGGCCCAACAGGAGCCCACACCAGGACTTACCACCTGGGACACTGCTAGAAATGAGGCATTGTAAATGGACAAAGCAGTTTCTGCCCAGCAGACACGGCTGGCTCTTAGGAAAACCTTGTCCCCAGAGCTTTCCACATTCACCTTTCCTGTGACCAAAAATCAGCCTACGAGACCTGTCCCACACACACTGGGGTCTTTCCCGGGGACTTCCTCCTTTCCCAGCGGGGTTGTCAGCAGCTGAGGGGCACAGGGAGGGAAGACTGTGCTGACAGCACTGAGAAACAGTCCCCCTGGAGGGCTCCAAACTATATCCAAAACTTAAGCTAAGGGGTTAAGGCTTATTATGGTGACAGTAAAGCAGGCAGGAGGATGCTTATCTAGCAGTTTAAAGAAATAGCCTTCAGTTGGATATGGTGGTATGCGCATATAATTTCAGCATTTTTGGAGGCTGAAGCAGAAAGATTGCTAATTCAAACCCAGCCTAGTCAACTTACCAACTTAGTAAGACTTTGTCTCAAAATAATTTTTTTAAAGGGAGGTAGAGTGGGGATGTGGCTCAGTGTGAAGGCCTTGGGTTCAAATCCCAGTACAGGAAAAAAGTTGAAGGAGAAATATTCACATATCCACAGTCACCCGCCCACACACACACACACACACACTGTGCCATCTTTTGCTTATTGGCGTGATCACAGAGGTAGGCACTCGCACTTCTATGTACATTTATTGGACATCTCATCACCCTGAAAGAAACCTGTACCCATAACATCCACCCATCTCTCCCCAGCTCCCAGGCCCTGGCAAGTGCAAATCTCCTTTGTGTCTTTGGAGTTGCCTATTCTGGATGTTTTGTAAAAATGGAATCAAACACAGTATGACCTTTTATGTCTTGCTGCTTTCAGTTGGCATGGTATTCTCAAGATTCATTCAGGTCCAAGCATCATTTATTTCTTTCTATTCTCCAACTCTTCTACCTCCTCTTCTCTCCCTCTTCTTCTCAGCCTCTTCCTCCTCCTGTCAAATAATATTCTGTGGCCCAGAACTATTTGTTAAAACAATTAGTAGGTCTTTAAGCCACAGAATAATGTCAGAACCTATTTCTGGAGGGTGCTGCCAGCAACTGGATGCAGAACACAGAATGTACTGGGAGGGGAAATTAGCTACCGTAGTGATCCAGGCACCCAACCATGGAGTCTGAACTGGGTAGTGCAGAGAGAGCATGGCAGGAGTTCCCAGGCGACAGACAACAGAAAGAGCAACAAGGAGTACTAACCCTAAATTTGTACAGATAGGTGGCTTGGGGACACACGGAGCTTGGGAGGGGGATGCTGCCCTCGGCCAGAACGTGACATCCAGAGGAGGAGCCTTCCTCAGGGATGGGCATTTTCTGGTTCTCCTGAACCCCCTTGAATGTTCTGGCTACTGCACTGCATGCTTTGGACAGTAATGACCCAACAGCTCAATCTTTACTGCCACCCAGACACACTGCTTTGTCTTCCCCAGGAGCCGAAAGGGATTTGACATTGCCCTCAATTTGCTCTTTGCCATGGCCTTCCTGGCTAGCACATTCTCCATACTGGCGGTCAGCGAGAGGACTGTCCAGGCCAAGCATGTCCAGTTTGTGAGTGGTATCCGTGTGGCTACTTTTTGGCTCTCTGCTCTGCTATGGGACCTCATCTCCTTCCTCATCCCCATTCTGCTGCTGCTGGTAAGTGCTGACAGTGCTGGACTTTGACCTACAAACCACAAGGACTTGCCTGGGGGACCCCTGTGTAGAACTGGATCCAGCAGAGGCTGGTCCCTTCAACTCCAGAATCCAAAATCACACTTTAACAGCCTTAACTCATTATAACTTCACAGACCCCCATTCCAGGATGACTAGAAAACCAGTGGTTCTCCTTGCCTTGTCCCCTTTCCACAGCCTATTCCTACCCCTGTTGGGTAGGCAGGGCCTGTAGTGAGCAGGCTGTCCTGGTTCCAGCAGTATCAGCCAAGGAGAGAAGCAAAACTTGCTGGTCAGAGAGGGTCCTAGAACCAAAAGCCACCATGTGGCCGAGGGGCCTGGCCTAGCTGATGGGTCAGGGTCCAAGGATCACTGAATGCTTATATAACCCCCTCCATCCTCCTGCCCACTGGCTGTGCACCAAGCTACCACCTCTGTGTTCCTACAGGTGGTATTCCGGGCCTTTGATGTACGCGCCTTCACGCAGGATGGCCATGCAGCTGACATGCTGCTGCTGCTCATGCTCTACGGCTGGGCCATTGTCCCCCTCATGTACCTCCTGAGTTTCTTCTTCTCGGGCGCGTCCACTGCCTACACCAGGCTGACCATATTCAATGTCCTGTCTGGCATCGCCACCTTCCTCATGGTCACTATCATGCGCATCCCAGGTGGGCGCACAAAGACCCCCCTCGCCCTGGATCTATCTTCGGGCAGGTGTGGTGCGTCTTGCAGCACTGACTGGTCTGCACCTCCTCACCGCAGCCTTGAAGTTAGAAGAACTTTCCAGAACCCTGGATCACGTGTTCCTGGTGCTGCCCAACCACTGCCTAGGGATGGCAGTCAGCAGCTTCTATGAGAACTACGAGACACGGCGGTACTGTACCTCTTCAAAGGTTGCCACCCAAAACTGCAAGAAATACAGTGAGTGCCCAACCTTCAGCAGCCCCTTCCTCTGAGCTCTGCCCCAGGGCACCAGTTCGCTCCAAACTTCCCCAGCCAAGGGGTGTTTCTGCTGTCAGTAACACAATACCACAGGTAGGGTAAATTATAAGCAAAGAAGCTTCTTTTGGCTCATGGCCCTTGAGGACAAGAGCCTACATCTGGTGCTCTAAACACTATACGTAAGGGTTAGGTTTCTACCTTCTTTCACACCTCACATTGGGAGTTTGGTGTTAGTACATAGCCCTCAGAGGACACTCAAGCCACACCCAAACTACAGTGGGGCTCCTATTTTTTGTGGCCTGGTGCCCATCTGCCTGCCCACCTCTGTTGTCTGCACTGCTACTCACATATCCCAGGCCTGCCACTGTGCTTCTGCTCTGTCGTCCTGCGGCTCTGAAGCAGAGAACCACAGCCCATGGCTTAATGAACAGACAGGTATCCTTTCCTAAGGTCCAGGGTAAGAGTGTGGCCAAGGCCAGGTTCCCTCTGAAGGTTCAGGGGAGGGGTCTTCCCGTCTCTCAGCTTCCCAAGCTCCAAGGGTTCCTCAGTTGGGTGACATCACTTCATCTTTTCTTTGTATCACCTTTTCCCACGTTCTGCTTTCCTTCCTTCCTTCCTTTTCCCCCACATACTGAGAATTGAACCCAGGACCGTCACACTAAGCTTCATGTCCAACCTCTTTTTTGGTTTGTTCATTTATTTGTTTGTTTCTTGGGGACAGGGACTATCCTATTTTTCTGTAAGAATAGGACACTTGTCATTGGATTCAGGCCTACCCTAAACCCAGAATTACACCTTAAGAGCCTTAAATAATTATGTCTTCAAAGACCCTACCCCTAAACAAAGCCATAGGGCGTTAGTACTTAGGCCTCTCTGTGGGGCTCTATCTGTATATACAGTGGTCTCCAAGACATGTTGAGGTCAACTCTGGCCCCCGCCCACTCCAGCCCCAGTGCCCACTGTGCTGCCGAGCATCACTCATAAGACTGCTGCTTATCATGGGCCTATCCCCTCTAGTGTGCCTCACAAAGGGACACGATGTCTATCACATCTTAGCCACCCCTAGTCGAGGTAGCAGGTGTGAGTGGTGGATGAGGATCTGACCAATCCGTCATCACAGGTGTGCAAGTGGCACTTCACATAACAAAAGGAAAGTAGCTAGGCTCCCACATGGCATTGAGAGCGATAGGGCACATCCTTGGGGCTTGGGCATTTGGTGTGGGGAAACCTGGGCTGGGACCCAGGAAGGAGGAGGGCACTTGGCTGGAGGCCCCAGTCTGGCTCTCTGCCCTGAACAGACATTGAGTACCAGGAGAACTTCTATGCCTGGAGCACTCCGGGAGTCGGCAGATTCGTGACCTCCATGGCCACCTCAGGGTGTGTCTACCTCACCTTGCTCTTCCTCATCGAAACCAACCTGCTGTGGAGACTGAGGACCTTCATCTGTGCCTTCTGGAGGAGGTGGATGCTGGTGAGTGGCTCCTGAGCAGCTCAGAGACCCTGGCCAGACACTCCCAGTTGCCCTGCTGGTGTGTAGGATGTGAGGGGCCTCCTTCCTCTGTACTTAGCAGCTCATCTCCCTGGGCAGCCCTGTCATGCAGTCAGACATGGCCTCAGCCTCCCGGTGCACTGTTAGCACTTACGGCCCAGGGGGCCACATCCCTCACCCCTTACAAGGACTACCTTGAGTCCTGTGCTCCTATTGCCAGAGTTGACCTATAGGCCAAGGTCCCCTTCTAAGAGGGGAGGTAACAGGGCCACTAGGGGTGCTCCACACATTATTGCATACTTTCTCTTGTACTGGGGATTAAACTCAGAGCCTTTGCATTGAACTACATCCCCAGCTCTTTTTTTTTTTTTTAAGACAGGGTCTTACTAAGTTGCTAAATTTCCCAGGCTAAACCCGAGTTTGTGATCATGCTGCCTTATCCTCCCAGAGTGTTGGAATTGCAGGTGTACACCATCACACCCAGCTTCATACATTTGTATTTTTCATATGCACATCATGTCTCCATCTGCTCCCTCACATTAGTAAACAGAATCTGCTGAGATCACATTAGATATGCAGATTAATCTGGGGCCGATTGAGTTCTCTAAGATGTTAACGTTTCTCTAAAAAGGAGTTCTCTCCATATTAAGGTCTTCTGTGCCAACTACTCAGAAGCCCGCAGCAGAAGGATCACTTGTCCCAGCCTGGGCAACTCAGTAAGCCCTCGTCACAGAAACATAAAATTTTCCCTCACATTCCTCAGCAAAATGTGTCATTCTCTTGTGAATCTTGGCAGTTCTTACAGTAACTGAATAATTTGTTTCCTAGATGTTGATTATAGCCTATGGCCATCCACCTTTTCTTGTAAAGGTCCTCAGTGGTTATATGGGGCCTGGACTGAGTTGAGATGGCTCAGAGGACTTAGTCCTTCCTGTCAGATGTCTCACCTCCACCACAGTCCCTGCCCTTCCTCCCACAGCACTGAGATTCACGTGTGTTTGTTTCAAACAATTAGGCAGAGTTGCACAGCCGAACATCAGTAGTTCCTGAGGACCTCGACGTGGCACAAGAGAGGAGCCGCGTCCTGACTCCCAGCCTGGACTCTCTGCTTGACACACCTCTAATCATCAAGGAGCTCTCCAAGGTAACAGACATAGGTTCTGCCCTCCACAGGGCCACACAGCCACCCAGCGGGTCCTGAGAGCCTGGAGTTGGCAGGGACTAAGGGTAGGGTTTAGCCTCCTCACCTGGTATTTCCTGCTGGGCACCCCACAGGTGTATGAACAGCAGGCACCCCTCATTGCCGTAGACAGGATCTCTCTCGCAGTCCAGAAAGGGGAATGCTTTGGTCTCCTGGGTTTCAATGGAGCCGGAAAGACCACAACATTCAAAATGTTGACTGGAGAGGAGACCATCACCTCAGGGGATGCCTTCGTTGGGGGCCACAGCATCAGCTCTGACATTGTAAAGGTAGGTACTGCAGGGATGCTCTGCTGGAGTGGGATGGGCAAAGAAGGCAGTGCCCTAGAGATAGGGATGGACAGGCTTCTGTCCATAGTGGGCACAGCACATGATTATGGACACCAGGACAAGACTGCAGGGGTCAGAGCTAAGTAGGTGGGGAGAGAGAAATGTGGGGGCAGACAGGGAAAAGATAAATGTGGGCCAAAGAGGTATGGCCAGCACTGAGGGAACCACTTCCAGCCCAGAGCTACTCTGTGTCCAGCCAATGTGGACACGGGTTTGGAAGCTTGTTGAGTGAAAGGACAGAAAAGAAGGGCCGGGTCGCACTGATAGTTTTCCTGAACTGGACTGAACCCCACAAGGTGAGGCTGTACTAGGGCTAGCCCACCTGTTCTCTGACCCTTGGGTAAAGCACAGAAGATCTCCATGTGTCAGTCAGAGCAGGAGGAAAGGCAAGGCGAAGAGTCTGTGTCTAAGAAGTAGCCAGAGAATTTTCTCCAGAAATAGCAACACAGCTTCTCGATTGTGGTACCTCAGGAGCCAAAGTGCTTGTAGGCCCTCTCTGGGGAAAAGCTTCATTCTGGGGTTTTAAAACTCCCCTGAATAATGTGTCCAAGCTTATGGGAAGTGTGTAAGAAAGAAACAGAGACAATGAATCGACAGGATGAGAATCCACATAGTCAAGGCCCCACAAGAGGAACAAACACACAGACTAAATTTGCAGTAAGGGCCAGATTATAAAGTAATTATTCACTATGTTTAAAGAAATAAATGGTCAGGCATGGTGGCACATGCCTGTAATCCCAGCACTCGTGAGGCTGAGGCAGGAGGATTGCCACAAGTTTGGGATCAGCCTGGGCTGCACAGTAAACTCAAGGCAAGCCTGAACTACACAGCAAGACCCTGTCTCAAAAAACCAACAACAGCAACAATAGCAACAACAATAATAATGAAAGAAGTAGCTGGGTATGGTGGCACATGCCTATAATCCCAGCACTTGGGAGGGTGAAGCAAAAGATTCCCTGCAAGTTCAAGACCAGCCTGGACTATATAGTGAGACCTTGTCTGAAAAAACTGAAAAAAAAAAAAAAAAAGAAGCTGGGTGTGGTAGTAGTAAATGCCTAAAAGGCTGAGTTAGGAAGATTGCAAATTCAAGCCCAGCCTGGGCAATTTAATGAAACTGTCTCAAAATTTAATTTTTTTGAGACAGGGTCTCGCTATGCAGTTCAGGCTGGCCTTGAGCTCACTTTGTAGCCCAGGCTGGTCTCAAACTCACAACAATCCTCCCAGCTCAGCGTCCTGAGTGCTGGGATTACAGGCATGCACCACCACACCTGGCTGTTCAAAATTTTAAAAAGGACAGGATATATCTCAGTGCAGAAATCTTATGTTCAATCTGTAGTACAAAAAAAACAAAAAACACAATTGGAAATATATATAGGAGAGAAAAAAAGCTGTACTGTGTAACCTGGACATGGGGGAGAGAGTGGGAAGTGCTAAGTATATTTAATCAAGTTCTAGAGGGAAAGGAGAGAATAGGGGAGAAGAACTGAAGAGGTAATGACAAAGAAATTTCCGGAAGAATTAAAAGCAGATTCTAGGGCTAAGACTATAGATCAATGGTAGAGCACCTGCCTAGCATCTCTGAGTCCCTGGGTTAAATATCTAGCACCACAAAAAAATAAATAAAATTTAAAAAGCAGCCTCTAGCCTGGCATGATGGCACATATCTGTTATCCTAGCACTCAGGAAGCTGAGGTGGGAGGAGCTCTGCAAGTTGGAGTCTAGCCTGGGCTACCCAGTGAGTTCAAGGCCAGCCTAAAACCTCATAGTGAGACACTATCTCAAAAAAAAAAAAAAAAAAGCAGATGGTACAGGCATGGTGGCACAAGTCTTTAATCCCAGTACTTAGGAGGCTGAGGCAGAAAGGTATCATGAGTTGAAGGCCTGTATTAGAGTGATTTTGAGGGCAGAAAGACAGGAAGGAGAGGAGGGAGAAAGGGGCTTGCCCTTGCCAGCCAATGAATGGGGCAGCGAGCAACATAGGAGCCCCCAAAAGCCCCACTGGTGGAAGCCACCACTCACACAGAGACCAACTGCTGTGACATCCAACAGTGTCACCTCCCACAGAGGTGCTACCCACAAGCACCTCTTACTAGAAGGCCCCAGTGCATGTTAGATGTGATTTAAACATGGGGGGGATTGATGAACAAGTGATAGCTATAAGCCACAAAGTTCTGTATAGTGATCACTGTGTGTAATCATTCTTGAGACAACCTGCCCATGTGGCTGCTTGCTGTGGACCTGCCCCAGGCTAGACCATCTGTTGGCCTCTTTGGGGCCCCTCTAGGAACCTCCCTGATCCTTCCAGGTTCTTTCTGTGACCCCACAGAAGTACTGCTGGGAAAGCTTCCACTGTGAGCAACTGGCATGGCCTGGGCACCAGCTTCATGGTCCAGCCTGCATGGGCTCTCTGGAAGACTCAGAAGCAGGCACCCTGGCAGGTGGTCTCTGTGGTCCTCTGTCATGGGACCTCACTCCAATCCACCCCTCTCGGTGGCGTGTCCTCACCCAGGTGCGGCAGAGGATGGGCTACTGCCCACAGTTTGACGCCCTGCTGGACCACATGACGGGCCGGGAGATGCTGGTCATGTATGCACGTCTGAGGGGCATCCCCGAACGCCTCATTGGTGCCTGTGTAGAGAACACACTGCGGGGCCTGCTCCTGGAGCCACACGCCAACAAGCTAGTCAGATCATACAGGTGCGGTATCACCCAACCTCCCACCTCAGTGAAAAGATGAGTCCCAGCCCTTTCTAGAGTGGAGTGAGGGTCTTCCTTACCCTAGAGCTGGAGTGACTGACAAAACAGGTCAGCAGGCAAGGCCTTCCCACCCATGGCTCCAGATCAGGCAGGAGTTTGGTAGCATGACCCAGATATCATGAGATGAGAAGCCCGTGACGGTTCCTGCCACCTAAAGCAAAGACAGCCAGAGAGTGATGCTGGGTCCCTGTTGACCCCCTGGGTGCAGACAGATGATGTTCCTGACCTCTGTGAGGGTATAGATCCACATCTGTTTCTGGGGCTCTGGCTTTGTGATGGGCTTCACCTCCTTCCTCTCACCTGGGTACTCTGCAGTCACTAAGCATAGGTCTCTGCTGGAACCTGATCATCAACCTTGTCTCTCACCTGGTACCCCTTTACCCCCAGCGGTGGGAACAAGCGCAAGCTGAGCACTGGCATTGCCCTCATTGGTGAGCCTGCAGTCATCTTCCTGGATGAGCCATCCACCGGCATGGACCCTGTAGCCCGGCGCCTGCTATGGGACACTGTGGCCCGGGCTCGAGAGTCTGGCAAGGCCATTGTCATCACCTCCCACAGGTAGCACTTGCATCTCTCTGGGTCAGTAGAAGAGCCTAAACAGGGGTTGTGGGACAAATGGGGTGGGGGGCAACAAAAGACCTGTCGGCAGCTGGTGCAAAGCCTGCCAGGGAATTTCCCAGGCTCAGCACATGGGCCACACTCAGCATGGGAATCAGGAACAGGCTGATCTGGGCATTGACAATCATCTGTTGGCATAACCCTTGCACACTGAGAGTGGGCATGAGCTTCCTCCAGCCCTGTCTTAGACTCCACTCTTCTCCTCAGCATGGAGGAATGTGAGGCCTTGTGCACCCGGCTAGCCATCATGGTACAGGGTCAGTTCAAGTGCCTGGGCAGCCCTCAGCACCTCAAGAGCAAGTTTGGCAGCGGATACTCCCTGCAGGCCAAGGTCCAGAGTGAAGGGCAGCAGGATGCACTGGAGAAATTCAAGGCATTTGTGGACCTGACCTTCCCAGGTGTGTGCTGGCCCTTCCCCAGGGTGGGCCCTAGAGCTCTGCCCGGGCCTCTGTCATCTGCTGTGCAGAGTCTGTGCCTCACCCCGAGTCCCACATCCCTGACCCCTGCGATGAGGCTCTCGATCCTGTGCATCAGGCCTCCACATCCCTCCAGCCTGGCCCTCACAGGTCTCTTCTTTGTGCAGGTAGCGTCCTGGAAGATGAACACCAAGGCATGGTCCACTATCACCTGCCTGGCCACAACCTGAGCTGGGCAAAGGTGAGCACAGACTTGGCCCCTGCTGGGTGCTAGCAGGGATTAGAGAGGGCCCCTCCAGGGTCTTCCCTTTTATAGTAATCCCAGGCTCTTTTAGGGTCACCTTTTGTTGAGTTGGAAAGAATTTAGTGCAAAAAAAAAAAAAAAACGTGGCTCAGAGAAGAGACAGTTTGCCCAATGTCATACTCTGAGCTGGAAACAGAGTCGGGAGAAAGGCCCCCCCACCTTGCTGCTCTTCAGTCAGCTCCCTGAAAACTCAGCTGACCTTGTAGGACTGACCACCCAGGGACTCTGGGGTGGAGTTGGGCAAGGAAGGGTAGGACCTTGGAGCCAGAGGACTTTCCTACCCAGCCAAAGAGCATAGGCCCTGGGTTCTCTTACCAGTGGCTTCTGCTTCTGAAGGTTTTTGGTATCCTGGAGAAAGCCAAGGAGAAGTATGGAGTGGATGACTACTCAGTGAGCCAGATTTCACTGGAGCAAGTCTTCCTGAGCTTCGCACACCTGCAACCCCCTACTGCAGAGGAAGGGCGATAAGGAGTGATGATGAGGAGCATCTGCTGCTTCTGAGGCACCAGGCAGAAATGGAACAAGATGGTGCACAGCTGTGATTCTTCTTCCTCTGAGTTTCTCTTACACTTTTATTTTTAATCACTTTTTCTGTGATGGACATGAAAAATCAAGGTGGTGTACACAGAATGGACCAAGTGTGTCTGTGCTGTCACACAGGAATTAGCATGCAGATTTCTACCCCTAAAGGCAGACTCTGGAATGCCTCTTCCCAGCTGCAGAGCTGGCCCAGCAGTGTGTGTGATCAGCCACAGGTCTGTGGGTGGAGAGCTGACCCAGGTAGGACTGCAGCTGACCTGGGGGCAGTATGCTTGAATTTCTCTATGTATTCACACAGAGAGAGGACCCAGGGACCTATCTATGTTTACACATGACTTTATGCTCCCCTGGGAAGGAAAATAGAAGCCAGCAGGGATGAACTAAAATATATCAGGCTGCTAAGAACGGACATTAAAGGTGCATATCACTATCCACGAAGGGAAGATGTCAGCTGTGACTAGGTGCTGAGACCTTCGCTCCAGTGCAGCCCCAGAGGCATCCTTGGAGTCAGTGCTCCATGGAGATGAGTGCTGTGCCAGGCCAAGCTGACCCCAAGCTGGGCATTGCCCATAAGCACCATCTAGAAGTAGTGGGCCCAGGGAGCAATGATGACAAGACTTGGGGCACAGTCCTCTATTTCCACCTCTGCACCTTCAAGACATCACCAGCCACAGGACAGTCAGGGACCACTACAGGGCTGATACACTAAACAGATTGTGACTGTCCAGAAAATAAAGGCTAAGGGAACATAGTCATAGTCTGTGAGTCACACATGTATTGGGGAGCAGCGGGGGTCCGTGGGGTGGATCACTTTTCCACAATCCCAATAAAAGTCTCTCATACCAAGATTCAGATAAATGTAAACAGAAATTTGCTTTTCCCAATAGGGAGAAAACTTACAAAATTCACTGCCATAAGGTAAAGAATAGGCCCAAAAGACAAGTGAAAAGATCAGATCAGTGCCTAGCTGACATCCTTAGTCTACAACCAAGAAAAGACAGCTAGTTGGTGTAGCACGCTGCAGAGCTGAGTAGACAGGAAGCCTCTGGCTCTGGCATTACCCAAGGATGTAAAGCTATTTTCTAGAAGATCCTTGAGCATCAGTCCCCTTCTTTGCACACTGTGATGTCTAATGGCTTTCTAAAACTTTGTGATTAGAATCTCTGCATTTTACATTTCCTTACAATTCATAATTTAGCCAGGCATGGTGGCACATGTCTGTAATTCCAGCACTCAGGAAGCCAGGCAGGAGGATAGCTGCAAGTTCGAGGCCACCCTGAGCTACATAGTCAGTTGAGAGCCAGCCTAAAGTATGTAGTGAGGTCCTGTCTCAAAAAAAATTTTTTCACACATTTTAGAAAATGTGTTTTCATCATTTTGGCTCACTGGGGACAATTTCAAATTTGTCTTTGAGACAAAGTTTTTTGTTTTTTTTTTTGAGACAGGGTCTCTGTGTAGTTAAGGCTGGCCTTGAACTCACTATGTAGCCCAGGCTGGCCTCTAACTTGAAGTGATCCTCCTGCCTCAGCCTCCACAGTACCGGTATTACATATAATGTATCACCATGCCTGGCTCCTCAAATTTGTTTTTATCAGTCTGAAAGTTTATAAAAGTGAGGTTCCAGTGGCACTCTTGCTCCCTTTAAGTCTTCAAATTGTCATCAATTAGTTCTGTATTATAAAAAATAACATAGCGACAGTTGTAGCCTAAACACTGCCCAAGAGACACCACCTATCAGTGCACCTATTCTGGTCTCACAACTTGTCAGAAAGCCTGAAGCCTCTAGGTCCAGTCCAGGCCTAGTGCTATATCCTTGTTGGGTTTTTTGGATGTATAGGAAGAGAAACAGGCCACTGAATGCATGTGGCTGTCTGGCTACCATCATGCCCAAAAGTCCTAGTGCAGGTGTCCTTCAATTTGATTTAAGCCCATGTGTTAGAGATTTAGGGATCTGTCATTTTTCTCCTTTGATACCATAAAAACATGTTGGGAAAGGTGTTTTGACCCAACAAAAAAGCCTGTGGAATCCCACACAGATGAAACCAGCCTGCCTCAGTAAGAAATGAAAAGTCTGACACATTTCAGAGTGTGGGATGAAGCTACCAGCAGGGGCCTTAAGGGAGGACTGTCAAACCAGAATCCTTTTTGGAAGATGACTCACAGCTGTGGAGGGGACAATGCAGACATGCCAGGCCACTGCATGAGGACCAGAAGGAGCATGCACAGTTAGGAGGAACATCCAGAAGAATCTGTGTGTCTGTGGGAAGAGTCCAAAGCTGTATGCAGGCACAAAGCCTGGACAACTACAGGAGCAGCCTAGTTAGAAGGGACCCCAGAGCATCAGGAACATTCCCCATAGTCCCCAGGAGTATCTTCGTGGGTTTTTTTTTGTTGTTGTTGTTTTTTGTTTGTTGTTTGTTTTTTTTTTTTTGGTACAGGGAATCAAACTTGGGACCTTGCACTTGCCAGGCAGGTGCTTGTGCCACTGAGCTGTATCCCCTACCCAAGAGCATCTTCAGAGCTAAATATTCAGTGCTATAGTTGAGTCATCAGAAATAGAGCCAAGACCAAGCCTCAGAAGCACACCCATTAGCCTTTCTTCCCCTCAGTACTGAGAACTGAATCAGAGACTTTTATACTGAATTACTTACTTTTGGGAAAAGGTCTCATTAAGTTGCCCAGACTAGTCTCAAAATTGCAATCCTCCTGGGATTACAGGTGTGTGGCACCACAGCCCAGCTCTGCTGGCTTATTTTGAGCTGTGGCAGTTCTAAGCTCCAGGGAGAAGAGAAGCTATGGATTCCTGCGACAGGAGAGTCTGGCCTGCCCATCCCTTCCTGTTCCTATTCCTCTAGACTACCGGGGCCCAGGTGACTAGAGATGCTATTTCTAGATTGCTGCTGTACCTGGCTACACAGCATTCCCTTGGGGGTCCAGCTCCAGCTCCACTTCCTGCTCCAGTGAGACCCTGAAAATGTCATTTTGCCCCTGCTGCTCCACATGGCTTCTCAGCTCCCTGTGGGCCTGAGGACAAGGCCTGTGGAACAACATGTATTTTTTGTCCTTTAGTCCTGCCTGGTCCAGCTATGCTCAACTGCACCTAATATCACTGCACTCAGAATTTGGCAAGGGTACTATGAGGGAAGGTAGACAGGACTAAGACCAAGATTCCTCCACTGCCTTTTCAGGCTTAAAAGGGAGGGGCTAGCCCCCCATCCCTGGGGAACAGAAGGGCCCGGCCAATCCCAGGCAGCTTAAGTCACAGATAAAGGGGAACCCACCTCTAGGCCAGGCTTGCTGCATGTATCAGAAACCCCAGATTACAGCAGTTTATTTCACAGTATGTATGAGGTCCAGGCAAGGCAGTGTAGGGCTTTTTGTCACCTCCAGGGTGTTAGGGACTAGGCTCCATCTGCCTGCTCTGTCGTCCAGGTGGGGGCTTCCTTCCTTGGGGTCATCTCTCAGTCTGAAATAGGGAAGGAAAAGGAAAGCACACCTGGCTAACCAGAATCCTTCGTGCAGCGCTCCACTGCCACCCAGAACAAAGACATGTGGCTACACCAGGTAGAAGAAACCCAGGTACCAGGGCAGTCTAGCAGTCTCCATCACAGAAGGAAAGGGTCTCCTCCCCATACATATCATCATTTCCACCTTAGCTGGTGACATGGGTCTGAAAAGGGACCCTTCCTCACTTGATGGGTCCTCATGGCTTGGGATCTGGGCTGGCAGGTGGGGGACTGAAGCTGTGGACTCAAGCCTAAGGAGGAGGGGCCCTGCCTTCCTCCTCAGCACATGAGGCTGCCCAGGCCCTGCTCCTGGGGCCTGGTCCACACCCCAGAGATGCTAGTGTCCAATGTCTCTGGGGTCGGAGAAGCTCCACATCACTTGCCCCACCACAGGTCTGCCCAGCCAGTCAACCTTGCCTCCAGCTCATCAGCTCAGCATCCGGCTCTCACCAGTCCCTACTGCATCTTCCTGGAGTCCACTCTAAGGGCAGAGCTCAAGTATCACCACCCTTGACTTCCACATACCAGAAATGGGTATGTGGCTTCAAAGTGAAGAGGACCACAGTTCCCAAACCCACTGCTCAGGTCCATAGGAAGCACTCTCAAAGTTAAAGCAGCTCCAAATCCCTAATAGATGACCCTCAACAGCCCCAATAGCCCTAGGAAGGAAGGACACTGGCCTGGGTCCACAGGATGCCTGTGGTGCAGCACTCCAGGGTGCTGGCCAGCTACTAATGCTTCCTCCAGCAAGGTGGGTCAGAGATGCTCTAGGTCCCTGAAGACCCCAGGACCATGGCCCTCAGGCTTCAAAACCCTTTCAGGTTGGTGCGAGGGCTGAAACATGATGTGAGAGGAAGGGGAAATGTTCAGACTTTCAATGCTCAAGTTGTTCCGAACATGTTTCTGCTGATGCCTAAAATGGCAAAATCTAGATGCTTGGTTTTCAAACCTCAAAAACTGATAGCACATTTGATTATAAAAATCCGTATTTAGGGGCTGGGGATTTAGCTCAGCGGCACAGAGCCTGCCTGGCAAGCGTGAGGTCATGCATTCGATTCCCAGTACCAGAAAAAAAAAAAAAAATCCGTATTTAATAACAAATTCAATCAAAGTGTCTCAATACATCATGCCCTTAGATTTAATATAAAATGTGTTAAAGCTTATATGTATGCCAAATTAAAAATACTTCAGAACTTCAAAAAAGCAAGGAGGACCCAGTCATGGTCATACATTCCTGTAATCCCAGCAATGGGGAGGCTGAGGCAGGAGGGGTGCCTTGAGTTCAAAGGCAAAGTTCTGTGGTACAAAGTAAATTCAAGTCGAGCCTGAACTACATAGTAAGACCCTATCTCAAACAAACAGAAAAGCAAGGAGGTGGCACACACCTGTAGTCCCAGCACTTGGGAAGCTGAGGCAGGAAGATTGAGGCGAGTTCAAGGTCAGCATGAACTACATAATAAGACCCTGTCTCTTGAGCCAGGGATGTAGCTCAGTGGCACAGCACCTTGCTTGGCAAGCTCAAGGTCCTGAGTTTGATTCCTGGTACCAACAACAACAACAAAAAGACCCTGTCTCAAAAAAACAAAAACAAAGAAAAAGCAGGGAGGGACTGTCAGCCCAGCTGGTCCTGTCCCTACTCTTCTCTTGCCACGATAGGGTCACCAGGCAGCCTTCTTCCCCTCAAAGTGTCAGTGCTGCACTGGGGACAGGTTCTAGGTCTGCTCAGGAGCTTCCCAGATCACAGGTTCCACTGGCTCGAGAATTACACATGCTGCCTGCTTGACCACCAAAGGCCTCATCCCTGTCAGTTATTCTCCAGGGCCCCTTCCCTAAGCACAGACAGGGTGGAGGCCCCAAGGGACTGTCCTTCTGATCTACTTATTCCTCATATCTGTCCATGGTAGATGTGACAATAATGTAGGGAATTGAACTCGTTCTAAATGCCCCTCTCAGCAAATCTAAGTCCAGGTGCAAGTGTGTAGGTCTGTGTGTGTGAGTGAAAAGATTAATGGGCCTGCCAACCCTACCCGCAGGGATGAGCTGGTGTCTCAGTGGAGTGGCCTCAGGAAGCAGGTTTCTCCTCCCAGCTGCTCTGTCCCTCTCAGCTAAAGGGTTAGGATCTCACTCAACATTTGGGGACAATGCCGGGGGTAGTGGCACACGCCTGTAATCCCAGCACTCGGGAGGCTGAGGCAGGAGGATCGTTGGGAGTTCGAGACCAGCTTAGGCTATAAAGTGAGCTCAAGGCCAGCCTGAACTACACAGCGTGACCCGGTCTCAAAAAAAAAAAAACAACAACAACAACAAAAAAAAAAACCCCACAAAACTCGGGGACAGGGCCAGAGTAATGGGCTCTAAAAGGCACAGGCTGAAAAACCCACTGAAGACCACTTTATCCGTCCATCTTCATCCCTCCCAGGTCACCAAACTGCATGCTGGATTCTTCCCGTCCTTCCCTGTGACATGTAATTTACCCCTTTTTCTTTTCCTTGCTGCTGGGAACCTGTTCAGATGACAGGGGCTGAGTGCACCTCAGATCCTTCTTCAAATAACCACGTCTCCTTGCCAGGCTACACCCGCACCCTCCTCTGTCACTGTCAAAAAGGCCCAGTGTCCCTCGCCCAGACCTTCCAGAAGCCTCTGCGGCTGCGGCTCCTCTACCTGGCACGCTCTTCCAGGCGGGTCCCAACTGCAGTGTCACCTCCTCGGTGAAAACTCCCTTTTGCCCGCTCCTCCTTATAGCCGCACAGTCTGCTACACCCACCGATTGAGTTATGTCCGCGCAGAGGCATCTTCGAAGTCACCCATATACCACCAGACGATAGTTACAGCGCAAACCCAAGGCATGCCCCTTTGGACTGCTGGCGGCTCTGCGGGGGCCCACAGCGGGCCGCATAAAGCTACACAGCTGCCCGACCATCCTCTTCTACCGTTCCGGGGCCCCGGAGGCGGAGCTGCGATGCCCCGCGCTGTCGCGGGCCCAGTGCGCACACTGAGGAGCAGGGCGGGTCATTCCGTGTTAACCCCCTTCTCACCATTCCGCTACCCGTCTACGCTGAGTCCCTCCCGGCCCCAGCAAAGGACCAATCCGTCTGCCCAAGGATGCGCGAAACCTAGCCGCGATAAGCAGAGACCCCACACGGAAAAAACACTAAGCACACTAAGCACCCTCAACACCCTCAACACCCTCAACACCCTCAACCCCCTCACAAAAAGCCGAGATCCTTTAACAGCCCGACGGTTGCGCCCATTGGCTGAGGCATTCCTTCGTCATCGCAGTGCGCAGGACCTGGGCACCTTCCTCTGACGACAGAACGGCGCCAGCCTTCGCGGCTGAGAGAGCGGGAGGAGGTGGCGGCGGCGGGAAGATGTAAGTTGGGGGCGGAATCCGACCGCATCCGAGTTTCTGGGGCCGCCCGCCTACTCCGGCGGGGTACTTCGTGGAGCCCGCCAGTTTGGCAGTCCCGTGGTGTGGCAGCCGCCTGGCGACGTGGCGCAGAGCTGAGCACGAGGAGAAAGATTGTGGCCCTGGGCGGGCTGAGTGGGAGGTGTCGAGGCCGCGGCCCGGAAGTGGTGGGGGCCGCGGCGGACGGGAGAGCGGCCGAGTCAGGCCTGTGGGAATTGGAGGCCGCCGGGAGCGTGGCTTCCGCCCTCCGGGTCCCACGCCGAGCAGAGACTCAGGCCGCCACGCCAGGCCCTTCCTGAGGAGCAGTGAGTGAACAATTAAGAACCGGGGGCGAGAGCGGCGCATGGGGCCCGGGCGGGAGCGTGCAAAGCTGCTTTGTGAGGACGCCTGGAAGGCCCAGCCCTTCCTTCGGGAGTCTCATTTAAACATGAACTCCACGGAAGTTTACCCAGCGTCCCTACTTGCCCTTCTCTGCGCTGGGCCTAGGGGTCCGGCCTAGGGTGGACCGAGCATGGTGACTGAACGCGGGAGGGGAGGGTACGGGAAGGCCAAGGTAATGGTGAGAGGTGTGGAGGAGGCTTTTCCTGCGTATTTATTTCGCATGGACTGTGTCTGAAATGTACTCTTTACGTGGGGAGGGTACTCGGAAGATTTGTGCAGGAACGCCCTCTGCTCAAGATTTAACTAATTGTTCTCTCCTTTCTCTGGCTGTTGGACGCGCACCTTTCCGGAGGATGGGGGAGGTAACCAAGGTCCTGAGCTGTTATCTGAACTTGTGTGAACAGAGAATTTCAACCTTTGCTTTCTAGCATTCGACCGCACCCAGCAAAGAGTTCTCTTAATTTGTGGATCTTAATTCTAAGTGCTTAAGAATAGTGGTGGTGCACAAAGTACCTTCTGGCAGATGTTGGGGGGTGGGGTTGTAGCTGAAATCTAAGAATGTAATCCTCACTCTGGATCTGTGCTGTAGAAGTGGCTGTGAAGCATTTGAAATGTAGTGTATTCATTCTGGAACCTTAGTATACATACCAGGTTTAGAGAACCTGCTATGAGGAAAAAGTAAAATTTTATTAGTAAATTTTTTCTCTTTGTTTTTTTTTTTTTTTTTTTTTTTTTTTTTAGTCAGGGTCTGGATGTATAGCTCAGCTGCCCCTGAATTATGTAGGCCAGGCTGGCCTTGAACTCACAGTGATCCTCCTGCCTCAGCCTCCTGAGTGGTGGGATTACAGGGATGCGTCACCACTGCCCAGCTCAGTAAATTCTTATATTGGTTGTATATTAGAGAAATTGAATGTCATACGTCAAGTATATTAATTTCACCTTTTTTGTGAGCTGAATACTAAGATATTACAGGTTGTGGTCATGGCTCTCATTTTTATTGGATAGTGCTGTTGTGATGACAGTGTTCGGGGACCCCTGTTAGGCATTCAGAAATAATGTGTAACTGGAGGCAAGTGACTCCAGACATTGTGGAAGCGGCCCTTTCTTCTAACATTAGCTAACATTTATTGAGCTTTAACTGGGTGCCATATCAGATTTATAGATTAATGTAGTTAATGCCTTTGATAGCTCTATAAGGTGGGAACCATAATTGTTATCACCTTGCTGATGAGAAATGTCAAAAAACACAAGTGACTTGTCCAAGGTTATACAGCAAAGCCTCAAAATTAAATCCAGGCATGCTGACTTCAGGTTCAACCACCAGATTATATATTCACTAATTGCCCAGGAATGTTAACCTTATAAGGTGCTCCCTACTTGGTGTCTGTAGCATGCTATTTTCAAACAAAATGGTTTGTAAAGAGTTTGCAGTTCTCGTGGGCGTGATGGCACATGCCTGTAACCCCAGATGCCTGTAATCCCAGCACCCCTGTAATCCCAGCCCCCCTATAATCCCAGCACTGGGGAGGCTAAAGCAAGAGGATCACTTTAGTTCAAGGCCAGCCTGAACTGCATAGCAAAATCCCGTCTCAAAAAGACCAAAAAAGCCATTCTGTCCCAGTGTGATGGCACACAACAGTAATTCCAGCACCATGGGAGTCTGAGGCTGGAAGGGATTGCAAGTCTGAGCCCAGCCTGGGCACCTTAGTGAGACCTCTCAAAGGGGAGGGGAGTTGCTAGGGATGTAGCTATTGCAAAGGCCCTAGGTACAGTCCCCAGCACCTGGGGGGAAAAGAATATACATTTCTGGAAAGGAGCAGTAAAAGTGTTACTCTGTCCTCTTCCATTCGACTTTTCCAAAACAGGGCTTTTTTCTTGGATCAGAACATTTTTTTTCAGTATTTTGAAGCAGCCCCTGCATATATGAATACAGTACCTCAGTAGTGTGCTGTCTCCACCTTACAAGTTGAAAATGAGTCAGGAATTGACCTTTTAAGCCAGGAGTGGTGAAATCCCAGCACTTTGGGAGGTTGAGGGCAATGGCAAGTTCACTGTTGCCTCAGCAACTTAGTGAGATCCTGTTTTAAAATAAAATCAGCCCCAGCGATCTAGCTCTTGTAGAGTGCCCTGGGTTCAATCCCCAGTACTACAAAAAAAAAGCCTTAAGAACATAGTAGTTTGAAAGAATTGTATTGTTGTACCCACATGGCCATCACCTAGATTCTACAAGTCACATTTCTGCCATATTTACTGTATTATCTAACTACTCATTATTCTTACTTTTTCTTGAATTTTCAAGGTAAATTGTACAGTTGTCTATACCTCCCCTGATCCACCTGATAATGTAAATCATTAAGAAAAGTTCAGTGTTTGAAATGAGGACTTCCTAAGTCTTTTTTGCTTCTTTTTAATATTCCTATGGGACATTTATGTTTGGATGTTAAATGTTTTGGTGTTGTTTCTGGTCACCTTGAAAATTTTGCCTCAGTCCTGTTATGATCCAGTGTATCACAAAAAGAAATTATGATCATAAGACAAGAGGTCCGATCCTTTAGAGGATCCACACTTGGGTTAGATGTTTCTCTGCTCAGCATACCAATATGAAGCTGTAGTATTATGAAAGGACTATAGAGGACTTACCTTCAAACCTAGGAGTAAAATCTGGTGTTGTATAACTTGTAAAACAATAGCAGTGGCAGCCACCCCCGCCCCCGTCTCCTTAAGAAAAAAATAACCAGAGGAGTCTAATAGTTCTATTGGTTAGGCATGTAATACATTTTGCATTCTTTTTTCTGTAAATAAATAAGAAAAAGAGGGGGAAGAAGCTAAAGTGACTATCTGCCTGTGCTTCCTATGGGGAGTAGAGAATCCTCCACAAGGAAATGGTGTCCCCTTACTACCACCACCACCCCAGTGTTCTGGCTCTGTGGACACTTGTTTCTTACTGTGATCCCATGCTACCTTCTTGTGCGTTCAACTTTTAATTGCAAAATGGATTTGTTGCCTTGCCAACTCGTTCACTTTTTATTTAAACCTTTTATCTTATTATTAGGCTGCTCTTTGGCGTAAATTGCAATCGATTAGGGATCGGTTCTCAAACTCAAGTTAGAAGTGAGATTTCAGATAAGTGAGGCCGGCATTGCTGCTTTGAACACCTCAGAAGGGGAGAATGGATTTATCAGGAGTGAAAAAGAAGAGCTTGCTAGGAGTCAAAGAAAATAATAAAAAGTCCAGCACTAGGTAATCCTTCTGTAAGATTTTTCTAGTGCTTCTTTGGGGGTACTCACTCATAGGGGCCTGCAAAAAGGGGAGATTGGAAATGTTTTTGCATTCTACAGTGAGTGTCCTAAGCCACAGACAATTTTGTTCTGTAGTCATATGGGATCTTTAGCCATTTTGGACCCCTTTTTGGGTTGTGCTGTTATTTTGGGGTTTGGTTAGAGGAGCATGCAATCTCATACTTACTCTTCCCCACCACCCAGGGCTCCTTCTCCTACCAAACGCAAGGACCGCTCTGACGAGAAGTCCAAGGATCGCTCTAAAGACAAAGGGGCCACCAAGGAGTCTAGTGAGAAGGACCGTGGCAGAGATAAGACCCGAAAGAGGCGCAGTGCTTCCAGTGGAAGCAGCAGCACCAGGTGGGGCAGGGAGGCCACTGCAGAACCACATTCCTCCATAGAAGGCTATCTTTCCTTAACTGGTTACAAAGCAATCACACTTTCAGGTTGTTAATGGAGACCCTACATTATGGAATACTAATAGGGGTCTTTTATATACAAGAGATAATTTGGGCGGTTCTTTTTTTTTTTTTCTATGGAGACTAAAGAATGACATTTTGGGACATGATCTTTCAACTGTACCTTATTCAGAATTGCAGTTGTATTGCCCTACTCCAGAGCATACTTTTCAGTACTTGAAATCTTGCCCTCACCAGGCATGGTGGCACATACTTAAGGCAAGAAGATTGGGAGTTCCAAGGCCAGCCTTCAGTATATAACGCAACACTATCTCAAAAAACAAAAAAAGAAAGAAAGAATATCATCCTGAGTTCATCTGTAATATCCTTCCCAAGCCGAGGTGGTGGTTCTTTTGATAGAGTCCTTTGTCTCCCAGTAGGAAATGTTCCTATGTGGATAAATAACCTCAGCCTCTCCCTGCCCCCTTTCTTGTCACTGTACAGTGCTTGGGGGTAAAAGGGGAGTGTTCTCTTCACTGGGGAAAGCATTGAGGCTTGAGGATACCTAGACAGCAATCCTTTTCTTTGGGGTATCTGCTGTGAACAAATTAGCTCCTGCCCATTGCTGCCTTTATCACCTCCACCTTCCCCTTAGGTCTCGGTCCAGCTCAACTTCCAGTTCAGGCTCTAGCACCAGCACGGGCTCAAGCAGTGGCTCCAGTTCCTCTTCAGCATCCAGCCGCTCTGGAAGCTCCAGTACATCGCGCAGCTCCAGTTCCAGCAGCTCCTCTGGCTCCCCCAGCCCTTCTCGCCGCAGACATGACAACAGGCGGCGCTCCCGCTCTAA